TTTTATTTTGTAGTGTTCCATTTTCGATGCCCTAAATGTCAGAAACAATACAAACTGAAGAAATCCCTAAATCGACACTTAAGCTACGAATGTGGAAAAGATCCTAAATTTCAGTGTGGACTGTGTTCCTACATGACCAAACAAAAAGGGAATTTGACGATACATATGGTGATGGTTCACAAAATTCTCAAAAGTGACATACAAAACTTTCTTTAAAAAAATAATAAGAATTAAACAAATACTTTGAAATAAATAGTTTTTTTTTTGTGTGAGACAGTGTTTGATTTTTGATTATAATTATCTAAGAAAAAGATAGTGAAATTGCAGCAAAAATTTTTTTTTGTTACCGCGAAAATATCGTAGAGGTGTCTTATATTTTATTGCATTCTAACAAATCAGCGTATTGTAAAAATCAATACATATTCTTGTAGGAAATTGAAAGGTCTTTAAAAAAGGTCTGATATTAATTTTCATTTAATCGACTTTGAAAAATTTTGTATTTTTATGAAAACACTAGCGTGTAGCAGCGACTTCGTTCGCGTCGAATTAATCATTTGTAATGGTGATGATAAAGCAGAGCAAGAATTTCCATTAACATACAAACTGGATAAAATTTTCTCACATTTATGTCAGCATGAGAAAAAACAATATGGCGATATTATTAAATAACTTGGTAAAATTTGAGGGGTAGTTTCATCTCGTTGGAATTTGACTTTCGAAAAATCCGTTTGCCAAAAATAAGCTTTTTACGTCAAGCAGAATCGTGGTTAAGATATTACCCAACTTTTTGGAACACCTTGTATGATTTTTTAAAAAATTTCGAAATATGTAAAAAAACAAATAAATTATGCTTGTCCAAGCGTTTTCCCGAAAGACTGACCGTTTATTAAATAACAAATATTGTAATATTTGAGGGGCGTTTTTACCCTCTTGCAATTTGAGATTCGAGAAACCCCTCCCTATCGAACCTCTGCACCCCATGGTCAATCCGTTTGCCAAAAATCAGCTTTAAACGTCAAGTAGTTTAAGCAGAATCGTGATTATTCAATGGTCATATTTTATGAAACACCCTGTATAAATTTATAAAAAATCTTAAAATATGTAAAACAACAAAATAAAATATACGTGTTTAAGAGTTTTTTCGAAAAACTCACCGGTTTTTAAATAAAAAATATTTTAATATTTGAGGGATAGTTTCACCCCCCTAGAATTCGAGTTTCGAAAAATCCCTTCTTATCGAACCTCTACACCCTAAAGTCAATCTGTTTTCCAAAAATCAGCTTTTTACGTCAAGCGCTTTAAGCAGGATCGTGATTAATTAATGACCAGATTTTTCGAAACACCCTGTATACATTTTTAAAAAATCTTAAAATATGTAAAAAAACAAAATAAAATATACGTGTTTAAGCGTTTTTTTTTATTTCCAAAGCACCTTTTTACCTACAATTTAATGGTTTAAGTATAATTTTTTTAAAATTAAAATTTAAGAATTATCATCATATACCTTTCCAAAAATATAGCACACTTCATATTTTGTTATAGTCTCCTTCGAAATACAGCATTTTAAAAGTTCGCCTAGTAGGCTTTGGACCCCTTATTGATGATAATGCCCCTAATAGAACTCGAAAAGATATTTTTCTAGCAAGACAAGGCACCGCCTCAGAACGCTGAAGTTATCAGCAATTTTTTGCAGCCAATTTCGTGAATAATTGAATAGCTAACCAAGATCCCAGTTGTTGGTCATCGAGGCCGCCGAGGCCGCCGGACTTAGTGTCTATGGATTTTTATCTTTGTCGAAAAATAAAGGTTCTTATTTTTAAATTGCCTGTATAGCCAGTACTTAGCGGTTATACGAGGTTATCTTTTACTCCCACTAAGTTAATGAATTCCGCGAGAAATGTTCAAAAACGGTCCCGTCTGTCCAAAACAGAAGACGGTCGACATGTCGAACTTCTGTGGCAAAATCTCATGTCTTGGTTTGCTATTAATTTTTATTGTTATTGATATAGTTTAAATGTGTTGATGTTGTTAAATATAGTTTAAATTGTTATAAAATTCTGCATCTCTCATTGGCAAATATTATTTTCGTTTTAATTGCTGCTCACAGATAGAATTTTTTTGCATTACAGCCGGCGCCGTTCAAAGCCTACTTATTCAAAGTGGGCGAATTTTAAGAAAATCTATATCTCGAAGAGCAGTCAAGCAAAATATCAAGTATGCTATATTTTTGGAAAGGTAATTCTAAATTATTTTCAATGAATTAAAAATATACAGGGTGTCCTATATAAAAAATCAAATTTCCTGTTGATAATTCTTAAATTAACAATTAAAAAAAATTATACTTAAACCATTAAATTCTACGTAAAAAGGTGTTTTGGAAATGCTTTCATAAAAATGCAAAATTTTCCATAGAAAAGAAGTTAGAGTGATTTGTTAAAAATGCACATTTTTGAAAAACACCCTGTAACTCCGAAACGGTAACAGATATCGATGTGCGGTTTTCACCATCATGTTTTTGATAAAAATTGGGCTCAGACACCGATATTAGTTTTCATCTATCTCCTATAGAAAAGGGTGTTTTCCTTTAAAAGCGTCGTGTACATACCTATACCAATTTAAAATTTATTATTTACCATTTTTTTGATATCAGCTCAAAAGGTGAAGCTTAAATCGCCCTATTTTTTTAGAAAATGTGTGTGCTTTTTTTATTTTATAAACATTGTTCCTGTGACTAATATAACCAGTTGCCTAATGTATATATTAGTATACTGTATATATCTACCAATTTTCTGAGTGAAAACATTTTTTTTATATAATCATAGTGTACTAATTCAGATATTTTGCATTGTAGGATCACGAAGAGATTTTAATTGCCCCAGCTGTTCCAAAAAGTATAGACAGAAACAGTCTTTTATACGGCATTTACAAATCGAGTGCGGAATGGAGCTCAAATTTCAGTGCGGAGTGTGTTTGCAAAGTTGCAAGCAAAAAGAAAACGTAATTTTACATTTGATGACGATTCATAGAATACCTAGAGAACAAATAAGAGATTACGGAAATGTCTTGAAATAATTTCTTTTTCATAAATTGTACTGAAGCTGTGGTTGGGTCCTTGTGAAACATCGTTGAAATATTAGTATTTTAATAAAGCACGCTTTTAGATGTTTCAAAAAACTTTTAATAAGAGTAACTTTAACTCTACATATATGTTTCGGCTTGTTAGGCCTTTTTCAAGAGTTTTTTAAGAACATAAAAAGTTAAGTTAAGTCCTTAAAAAACTCTTGAAAAGGGCCTAACAAGCCGAAACATATATGTAGAGTTAAAGTTACTCTTATTAAAAGTTTTTTGAAACATCTAAAAGCGTGCTTTATTAAAATACTAAAATTTCTTTTTCATTAAATTGTATTTCCAAGTAGAATTTTTGGACACGTTTTAGGTAATGTTTCTAATAATCGTGTCCGTTTCTGGACACAAAATGGAGAAACGGTATGACACAAATAGGAAACATTTTCAAAACCCATATATTTTATATACCGTGCTGGCAACTGTTACTTTTGGGTCGGCATTTACATGTGCGGAAGGAAATCGCATAGGGATCTTATTAAGTCGGAGTGAGAGAAATGCGACCGACGGACGCGACGCGCGACGGTGTGCTGTTGCGGCGTTGCCGATACGCCTTTCCCTATCAAGTAAAGTAAAATCACGATCGCAAACCGCTTATTTTTAAAGACTTTTTTTTCAAGAGATAACTAGATAAAATCATTAGACATGTTTCTGAGCATCTGAGTGGAATTATAACGATATCGTTAGGGTGTCATTTTTTTATAACGAGAAAAGGTCAGTAATCGCGATAATTTAAAAACTCAACTTTTTAACACATAACAGGCCATAACTCAAGAACCACTTTAGATATTGAAACTTTTTTTTAATTTCAAGATCGGATATTTTACAATATGTTTACATAAGAAAAATTCGATAAGGTTGTTTTTTCCATTCAAAAATTGTAAACAATCCATCCATTTACTTTTAGAGTATAGCAATTTTCAGCAATCGTGTAATTTTTTTATTGATAAAGATTTTCACATACTGTCTACGAAGAAAATACAGCAGAAATATTAACAAAGTTCTTGAAAAAACTACAACCTATTATTTCTAATAGATTTCGGGATACCGATTTTTGAATTCAGAGTTCTAATAGCGCGACCACTATCGAACACCTACTCAATTTCACTTATTTTTACCAAAAATGCAAGTGTTTCTAGCTTGCACTTAAAAAAATTCAAGCTATAGGGAAAATTACAACGACTCGTTAATAAATAAACAAATTAAGTATCACGAGACGTAATAAAATCGTGAAGCTGAACGCATGACGTACACCTTTCCCTAGAACTTTAAGTACTGACAGAGGTATTGATTGGGTCGACCGGTTAACTGCGACAAATCTGCTATATCCCCTTCCACGTCTCTAGCGATGTGCACAGTTTCTCGGTTTATTTCATACGTTTGGCAACGTGTTTACTGTCCTCTCTTTGTTCAGTACATTATAAACGCCATTGTACTCTTCTTACATACGGAAATCTCGACCCAAGACTAACCTTTGCCAGCCCTTAGTATATAGCTTTATTACATGTGTTTATAATGTGTTAGCACTAGCCCTTTCCTGAAATGTTTCGATGCGGAATCAAAACTTTTAGAGGAAATGTTTCGAAACATTTTCTGCAATTTGAATCCAAGACGTTCCCGTTTTCTGCAGCCACTGTTCCTAAATGTGACGAAACAAAATACCAAAGTAAAATAGTCCATGTCTGTGTGTGGATTTGAAAATGAAAACAATCATCAACAATGTCGACCTCCGCCATAATTTTTTTGTCTTAAAATCTTTGTTTTTAGTTTTTCTCGAACAAAAAATGTCTGGCAAAACCAAATTCATCGTTTAATTTAATAGTGTACTTTCATATTTTTAATACCCCTTCTATATATCATTATTTGTTGCTAAAAAATATTTTTGTTTGAAATATAGTTTTTTATTTCATATCATGGTTCTAAAAATAAAAATATATAATGTGGGTTGGAGTCGGGGGAGAGTTGCACGGTACGGCTAGGCGCAAGTAGTGATGGGCAAAACTGTTATTTTTAGATAACAGTTGAAACTGTTATAGTTATTTATAAAAAACAGCTTAAAATAACAGCTTAAAAATAACAGGTTTCTTTATTTTACTGCTAAATATCTGAAAGAGTATGAGACGGTCATCGCCAGGCGTATTAACGCAGTTGCAAGTTGCAACAATGACGTGCTCGGTGGTAGTATTTCCAGGGTGTCAAAACATTTCTAAATATCGATTGTTATCTAAAATACCTCTCTAAAAACGGTAGTATTTACAAATAAGCGCTGTTTACAAATTGCGATATAAAAAAAGCCAAAATTCGGCCACTCGTCTATAGTATATACCTACGCCCTGCCCCTCGATCCGCGTAGATCCTGAATTGCGTAGCAGTGTACAGGGTACATCTCACTCAACGGGCGAGAAGCTCTTAGTTATGATTTTACCATTTGCGGTCAAAAAATAGCAATATAAGAAAATGTGTAGTATATTCTTCATAAGTAAACCAACTACACACTAGAGTTCGAATTAATTATACATTTATATACACTTAAACTAGCGTGTACCCGCGACTTTGTTCGCGTCGAATTAATAATTTCTAATGGTGATGATAAAGCAAAACAAGAATTTCCATTAACATACAAACTGGATAAAATTTTCTCACATTTGCCAAAAATAAGCTTTCTAACGTCGAGCAGTTTAAGCAGAATCGTGGTTAATCAATTACTCAACTTTTGGAACACCCTGTATGATTTTTTTAAAAAAATTCAAAATATGTAAAAAAAACAAAATAAATTATGCGTGTCCAGGCGTTTTCCCGAAAGACTAACCGTTTTTAAATAACAAATATTGTAATATTTGAGGGCGTTTTCACCCTGTTGGAATTTGAGATTCGAGAAACCCCTCCTTATCGAACCTCAACCCCACAGTCAATCCGTTTGCAAAAATCAGCTTTAAACGTCCAGCATTTTAAGCAGAATAGTGATTATTCAATGGTCATATTTTATGAAACACCCTGTATATATTTTTAAAAATCTTAAAATATGTAAAACAACATATTAAAATATACGTGTTTTAAAGAGTTTTTCCGAAAAACTCACCGGTTTTTAAATAAAAATATTCTAATATTTCAGAGTAGTTTCACCCCTTAGAATTCGAGTTTCGAAAAATCCCTTCTTATCGAACCTCTACACACTAAAAGTCAATCCGTTTTCCAAAAATCAGCTTTTTACGTCAAGGGCTTTAAGCAGGATCGTGATTAATCAATGACCAGATTTTCAAAACACCCTGTATACATTTTTAAAAATCTTAAAATATTATTCTGAAAATTTTCAGAATAAATATATACCTAAATATTGAAACTTAATAAGTAAGTACTGAAACATACAGCGCCATAATATCTCGACCTCCGTCCGTTATATGCTCGTAACAGGTTGAAACAGAATGTATCTAAAACAACTGATGGCGTTATTCCCCAACCTGTTTCGAACCTCCATCGACAATCGACCGATGCAGCAGCGTTCCTTTCCCACACCTATTATCTCGTCCGCCGCCCTGTTATGCTTGTAACAGGTTGAAAAACAACATATCTAAAATGACTGCTTCTCCAACCCGTTGCGAGCCTCCATCGACAATCGATCGATGCAGCAGCGTTCCTTTCCCACTCCCGTTATCTCCACCGCCAGGCGTTATGCCCGCAACTGTTTCAAAAACCTGCTTCTTTATATCCTATTATTTTTAAGCTGTTGTAAATACGACCATTGACGGTATCGACCGAAGCAGCTACGTTCGCCGTAGCGCTTTCCCCACTCCGTTGTCCGTTGTCTCGCCGCCTGTATCGATGGTTGACGAAATAACATGTTTTCCATCCATACTAGTTGTTTTTTGGAATTGCTTCGAGCAGCATAGAATTTCGTGGTGATGCAGAGCGCCGACTTCGTTTTACCTTTCACGAGCGGCCGATCTCTACGTGTCGTTATTTTATATCTGTTATTTTTTAAAAGTAGTAACGGTTGCGTTATGTTATTTATAATTAATTGTTATAAAATAACAGATAGTTAAATAACAACCCATCACTAGGCGCAAGTCACTTATAATATTATATATATAGGGATTGTTTAATTATAAATACTAATAATTATTAGCTAATGAAAATTATTCATGTATTAATAGTTATAGCTCAAACTAGCACTTTTTTTCAAGAGTTTTTCAGTTTGAGATAAAACTATTTTTATTTTATGCCGTTTGTATATTAAAAATTATTTAATTGTCATACTTAGTAGATAGGTAGTTCTTAATTGTAATTTATTAATAAGAGTGCTATACCGAGTGCATAAATTATATGACTGAATGATGTATTCAATTGTTTTTGGCCACTTCCTGTTTCACCGGAAATTACTACAACTTTTGACTTTTAAATGGCACCGTCGGTATATTTTTACTTTATTCTATAGAAAATGACGCTCTGAATAGAATGACAACTTTGTCATGGATGTCAACTTTTGACATTTTCGCTTAAAAATCGAATTTTAAATTTAAATCTAGAGTGCCGTGGCTGTGTTAAAAACACCAATTTTTAATCAAGGAGCCTTGGAAAAATAGATTTGATCATTTGTTATTCTATTCATAGTGTCATTTTCTATCGATTAAAGTAAAAAAATACCGAGGGCGCCATTTAAAAAGCAAAAGTTGTAGTTATTTCCGGTGAAACAGGAAGTGACCAAAAACAATTGAATACGTCAGGTCGGTCAAGTTTGCCTCCCGTACTAGAGGAAATTCAAAAAGAGATATACCACTATTTTGCACACATTTTGCACAATTTTGCACACCATAAATGATATTTTGCACACTTACCTAAGAGGAACTAGAACCGTTTTTTAAACGGGGGGCAAACTTGACCGTTCCCCCCATTTGTTACGAAATTGATTTATTTGTATGTACATGGATTCGGCTAATTTTGCACAATTTTGCACACATATTTTTAAATTTTGCACACCCTCCTGACGAAAGTTATAAGGGGTTGAAAATTTGAAATTTCCCCCCCATCTGTGACTAAATTGAATTTTGTTTATATCAAACGAATGGGCTAATTTTGCACAATTTTGCACACCTCTTTTAGAATTTTGCACACCTTCCTGACGAAAGTTATGAGGGTTTGAACACTTGCAATTTCCCCCCCATCTGCTAAAAAATTGAATTGTGTTTATATCAACGAATCGGCTAATTTTGCACAATTTTGCACACCTCTTTTAGAATTTTGCACACCTTCCTGACGAAAGTTATAAGGGTTTGAAAATTTGCAATTTCCCCCCAATCTGCTACGAAATTGAATTTTGTTTATATCAAACGAATCGGCTAATTTTGCACAATTTTGCACAGCTACTTTCGAATTTTGCACACTCTCCTGACAAAAGTTACAAGGGTTGTATATATTTGAAATTTGTCCCATTGTGTGTGAATTGTCCTATTTAAAGAACATAAGTATGAGTCATATTTGAAAATGATGAGATCTCAGCGACGTGGAAAACTGTACGGAACCCAGAGTTCACCTTTTCGATAAGTATAGGATAACCGAGATATGAGGGTTGTCGAAAAATGCAAAATTTTCAAATTTGCCAGGTATCTTAGGAAGTAAGAGGGCTAGGACAAATCTGTGTGTAGAATTTTTAGTTTCATAAATGTTCTTCTATGCAAGCTATAAATTATCGAAAAGGTAAAATCTAAGTTCCGTGCAGTTTTTTACGTCGCTGAGATCTATCATTTTCGAAATATGACTCATACTTATGTATTTTTAAATGGGACATTTCACACACAATGGGACAAATTTCAAATATTCAAACTCTTATAACTTTTGTCAGGAGAGTGTGCAAAATTCGAAAATAGCTGTGCAAAATTGTGCAAAATTAGCCGATTCGTTTGATATATACAAAATTCAATTTCGTGACAGATGGGGGGGAAATTGCAAATTTTCAAACCTTCATAACTTTATTCAGGATGGTGTGCAAAATTCAAAAACAGGTGCGCAAAATTGTGCAAAATTAGCTGATTCGTTTGATATACACAAAATTCAATTTCGTGACAGATGGGGGGGGAAATTGCAAATTTTCAAACTTTCATAACTTTAATCAGGATGGTGTGCAAAATTCAAAAACAGGTGTGCAAAATTGTGCAAAATTAGCCGATTTGTTTGATATAAACTAGATTCAATTAAGTCACAGATGGGGGGGAAATTTCAAATTTTCAACCGCTTATAACTTTCGTCAGAAAGGTGTGCAAAATTCAAAAACAGGTGTGCAAAATTAGTCGAATCGATGTACATAGAAATAAATCAATTTCGTAACAAATGGGGGGAACGGTCAAGTTTGCCCCCCGTTTAAAAAACGGCCCTGGTTTCTCTTAGGTAAGTGTGCAAAATATAATTTATGGTGTGCAAAATTGTGCAAAATAGTGGTATATTTATTTTTGAATTTCCTCTAATACGGGGGGCAAACTTGACCGACCTGAATACGTCATCCATCAATCCTGGGTTATCTCATATAGTAATATACCAAATATCCTTTTTTTATCTGGTGAAATAAAAAAGTTATAGGGGTGAGCCACTTTTGAGACCCGAGCCACCCGATATAAAGTAAACAAAGCGTAGGAAAAATATTTTATTATTAAGCTTTTCTGTCTTATTTTAAGTTTCAATATTTAAGAAAATAGTGTTTAGTATTTGTATATTTTGAAATTTGATAGAACATTAAATTGTCAAAAAATGAATTAATGTGTTTTAAAGATTTTATCATTATAATAATGTTATTTTTAATTTTAAGTTTTTAAAATCTTAAAGTCAGTAGTATTTAGTTAATAAAACGAAACTTTTGTTTACATTTTGTTTAATAATTGACGTTTCGACCAATTTTAATTCGGTCTTCTTCAGAATCTATAATGTACAATACAATTTTATAACCAAATGTATTTAATATATAATTTTTTCTTACCACAAATGTAGAACATCATTTCCGTTAACAACAACCAGGGCCGCGTTAAGGTGATTTGGTACCCTAGGCACCATTGATTTTGCCGCCCCCTTCAACTAATAAAAATTCAAGTAAAATTTGTTATTTAAAAAATGCCGCCCCCTATCATCCTGCCGCCCTAGGCAGTTGCCTATCTTGCCTAATGGATAAAGCGGCACTCACATTTTAAAATTCAAATAAGAAACACATTTAGGACATAGGACATTAGGATATAAAAGACAACTCCCGTTATTATTACTAATTATTTGTATTGCTCAGGGTTTCTCAATGTGATATTACGTTATTATAAAAAGACAATAAAGAGTTTATAACTTTTATTTGTTTTGTAGATTCTGCAGAGTTTAGCCACCACATATGTCCCAAGTGTTTCAAAGTATTCACACTGAAGGGTAAATTGGTCAAGCACATGAAGAAGGGTTGCGGCGCTCGAATGTTTAAGTGCCAAGTATGCCCTTATACTAGCAAACAAAAAATCTGTGCTAAGGCGCATATGGCTGGTGTGCATTATATACCCATGGATGAAATTAATTTGTAGTAGAAATTAAAGGATGTTTTGTCTTTAATACATACTTTTCAATAAAATTGATGAATTTAAAAATGTATTTTTAGCTATTCCTAAAATATTATTTGTGTATGGAGATCTTCGGGATATGTCGTTCTTGACATTTTGTAATATTTTTATTAATTTCATCTCTCTTAAAATTATTTGGGATAAAGACTGGTTTATTTGCCTACAATTATTCCAATATTGGGAGTTATATGAAGCGTTTAAAATGATATTTTATCTACTAGTGAGATACATAGTTATTTTACCTTGTTATAAAATGACAAAAAAACAGTTTGTGACTTTATTTATTTTTTAGATGCTGCAGAATTATGCCACGTATGCCCCAAGTGTTCAAAGATATTCACACGGAAATATAACTTGGTCAGGCACTTGAATTACATATGCGGCGTGGCCCCAAAGTTCAAGTGCCAAGTATGCTCTTTTGCTAGCAAACATAAAATGTATGTTAAGGCGCACATGGCAGCTGTACACCAACTTCCCATGGATGAAATTAATTCACAGTAGAATTTAAAGAATGTTTTGTATTTAATGCATATTTTTTGTATAGCGTTAGACTCCTATACAGAGAAGACCAGGATACTAGTAACATAGCAAGTTGCCGGACGAATTTACGTTTATCCGGTTTGCGTTCGCACTCGAGATTCACTGCCGGCTAGTCGGCTGGTCAGGCAGTACGCAGATGCAGTTGTGCTTGGACGGTTCGGTCGTGACAGACTAGAAATACGACGCGAGGAGTGCCGAGTATTTATTATTTTCATTTTAAGTGTTTACCTTCACTTAAGGTAACATTTAAAATGATAATACTTAAATATTTATTATTTGAGTGTGTTTACAAGCCAAAACTAAAAATAAATAAATTCTCTAAACCCAAAAAAAACTAAAATATTACTCTAAATAAAAAAAGTTATAACAAGTGTTCATAAAGACCATCTTCTTGTGCTAGACAGAAGCCTAGGCGGTCGTAAAATCCCCGTCTGACATTGGCTAACATATTAGGGCTAATAGTTTGGAAAGCCTCTCGTATTGAAGCTCATCCAGATTATTAGCCCTATTATGACCATACACTTGGATTTTACATAACCCCACAAAAATAAATCATTGGGAGGAAGATCTGGTGATCTAGCGGGCCACAAAATAGTTCCATATCCACTAATTAAACGTTTGGGAAAAGTATTGTTCAAATATTCTTCAACAATACGGGCATTGTGGGCAGGACAACCACCTCAGCAATTTGATTACTTGAAAACGTGGGATTTTGATTCGCGGTAGCACAAATAAACACTTGCTTTAACTCCTGTTCTTCATTAATCAACATGTCAGGCTTTTTGTGTTTTTGTGGGAACACGCACCCGCATGTGTTTCAAAATTATTAATAACTCTTGATACAGTAGGTAAAGATGGAATTGGCCTGTTTACAAAAGTTTGTGGAAAAATTGTTTGTATATCCCGATAAGAACTATTTTGGAAATACCATTTTACAATTTGAATTTTCTCACGAACTTCGTAAATATCCATTATTTTACTTAAAAAATAAATTTTACACGAGAACTGCCGCGAGAATCTATGTATTCGTTTTGGCTATTAAAACACGAATAAATACAAATTCTGAAACATTCTTATATCACATATCTACCTATTTTTCTTTTACCGCTTTTTTTTTTTTTTGGTGAGGGGTGGTTGAAAAATCTTTTATAGACGAATAGTGATCATTTCCATGACCATCTCGAGAGAGATGGTCATAGGAATAACCCCGAGACAGTGTGGGACTCGTGTTGATACCCACTAAAAAAAGTCCACCTCCGAGGAATCAGCCGCCGAAGAATGGTCAGC